CTCCCAAGGTATTCACCAGAGCCCTCTGATGAAAGTTTCCTCTTCTTCTTCTTAAACAATTTTTTCTTCAATTTTTTCTTCAAATTTTTCTTCTTCTTAAACAATTTGTAATATACATGTTTAGATAGCAGCGATTTATGTTCAGCAGGTATCCGTATGTTTAGTGAAACGTCAGGAAGATTTGTGGACCTGAAGTACTCAGCCAACGAGGACCAGAGGAGGAAGAGGTAATCATCAGGTAATAGGGCATAAAGGACACGATGCTGTTTTCTGCGCGCGCTTCTGCTTGCTTTACCAGAGATACCATGCTGAGCAATGATTTGGATATTTCCAACTCCTCTGTTCTCTTCATGTTCTCTTTCATCTCATTTATCACATTTAGCGTGCGTCGTGGTGACGGTCTGTACTCTCCATCACCTCCTCGTAAGTTCTGGCAGGCTGCAATGAGATCCCCTTCTGCTTTCCCTTCTCCAGGTGGACAAATCCATCTCCCTCAGCCTCTCCTCAGGACAGGTGATGAGCTCCAGCCCTGACTATCTTGATCCTTCTCACACCCTCTCTGTCTTGCTGACATCACTCCTGCGCTGGGGATATGAAATCTGAAGGCAGCACTGTAGATAATGCCTTCCCTCCATCTTCTGGCCACAGTCTTCACTCATGGGTTGAGACAAGGATATGGAGATCTTCATAATTACTATCACAAGTAAGACAGACAGAATTTGGGGAAGATTAATGTAATTACTGCCAATTAATAACCATGCCGACCAGTGAGGCACATTGGTGGCCTCCCCAGACTGGCAGCCCTCCTTTCCAGATTATTGCCCACCAAGACCCTCTCCACAGGGCAGCTCTCAGCCTGGCAGCCCCAGCCTATGCCACGGTCAGAAATAGAGTCTTGCTGTAGAAAACATTTGCATTTGTCCTCATGGCCTTTCACGAAATGCCTGTCAGTGCATTCTGTCATCTTCCTTAAACCCTCTTCCCAAGCAGTGAGGCCTGGAGTCCCTTTCAGTAAAGACTCAGGCAGCAAAAACATTCAGTCCCTCAGCTCTATCTGTACCTGCTGTCATTAAACCAGACTCTCCACTCAGTGTCAGCACAGCATGTCTTTAAATCAGCCCTGGTCTCCAATGTAGCAACCAAAACTCTTCTTTTTCCTCTTGATTTTCTTGCAAAGACCGGCCGCAGGTAAGATTTGCCTCTGCTAAAACCATGCATCCACCACAAAGGCAACTGAAATAAATTTAATCTTTAGAGCCTGTCCTTGCTGACACCTCCTGGCAACCGCTTTGTGGGTCTGTCAGCACCCTATGCCTACAAGAGCCCAGCCCTACTGCTGCCCACATGGCACCACAGCCATGCTGTGAAAGCACCACATGTTCTCCCATTACAAGAATGATGACATCCTCAGTGTCTGCATCCCATTATCTTTACTGACAGTCTGGAAAGAGGGATTGACTGTTCCGTCAGTAAGTTTGCAGATGAAACCAAGTTGGGAAGAAGTACTGATCTGCCTGAAGATAGAAAGGCCTTACAGACGGATCTGGACAGGCTAGATCAGTGGACTGAGTCTAACTGTATGACCTTTACCAAGACCAAGTGTCGGGTCCTGCACTGTGGTCACAACAATCCCATGCATTCATTACAGGTTTGGGGCAGAGGAAAGCTGCAGGGAGGAAAAGGATCTGGAAATGTTAACTGACAGTTGACTGAATATGAGCCAGTACTGTGCAAAGTGCCCAAGAAGGCCAATGGCATCCTGGCTTCTATCAGAAATAGAGTAGTCAGCAGGACCAGGGGGATGATGTACTCAGCACTGGTATTGCCACACCTTGAGCACTGCGTGCAGTTTTGAGCCCCTTGCTACAAGAAAGGCATTGAGGTCCTAGAGCGTGTCCAGAGAAGTGCAACAAAGATGTAAAGGGTCTGGAACAGAAATTTTACAGGGAGCAGCTGAGGGAACTGGGTTGTTTAATATGGAGGAGGCTCAGGAGGACCGTATCACTCTGCTCAACTGCCTGAAAGGAGGTTGTACCAAGGTGGGAGTCGCCTATTTCCTCAGGTAACGGCGAAGAGCTGGAAGTCATGGCTTCAAGTTGTACCAGGGGAGCTTCATGTTGGATATTAGGAAAAAAAAAAATTCACAGAAAGAGTGGAGAGGCATTGGAACAGGCTGCCTAGGGCAGCGGTGAGGTCACCATTCCAGGAGGTTTTCAAGGGATGTGTAGATGTGACACTTAGCAGCATGGCTGAGGAAGCACGGTGGTGGTTGGACTAGATCTTGGTTATCTTTTCCAACCTTAATGATTCCAATACCCAAAGAGCCCAGCTGTAGGCGCGGGCGGATGGGGAAGATGCTTCCGGCACACGCGCGGACTTGCGGCCGTGCTCCGATGCTTTTTGACCCCGCGGAGCCGCCGTAGTCGGTTGCGGTGCGCATGCACGGAAACTTCCGGCCGCGCTCCGATGCTTTTTGTCCCCGCGGAGCCGCCGTGGTCGGTCGCGGTGCGCGGAGTCGTCATGGAGTCGGAGGGTCCCTCTGAGCCGGGTTTCGTCGGGATCCGCTTCTGCCAGGAGTGGTGAGAGAGGCGGGAGCGGGGCCGGGACCGAGCCCGAGCCCTGTTCCGGCCCCGCGCTGATTCGCGTCTCTTTAGCAACAACATGCTGTACCCCAAGGAGGACAAGGAGAGCCGTGTGCTGCTTTACGCGGTGAGGCCCCGCGGCTCCGGTCCCCCCACGGGCCCCGCACACCCCGAGCCGCGTCCTTCAGAGCTGGGCCCGGGCCTTGACCCTCCCCACTCCCATCTCTGCCCCCAGTGCCGCAATTGCGACTACCAGCAGGAGGCCGACAGCAGCTGCATCTACGTCAACAAGATCACGCATGAAGTGGAGTGAGTGCGGACCCCCTTGGGACCCACCCCCGGCACCCCTTCCTCCTGATTCCAACCCACAGAGCCGTCCACTGCCATCCCCTCCTTCGTCCCCCCGACAAGACAGCCCCTATGATCCTCCCACCTTGGCACATTGGCCGTCCCTGTTCTGGGTATCAGTGGAGGCTGGTGAACGGGGGGGGGGGGGGGGCGGCGATTTCAAAAGGACTGGTGGGGGTTGTTAACGAGGGGGTAATTAAGTGAGGAAAGTGCTTGGCAGGTAGTGAGAGGTAATAAGGCAGGCTGACTGGAGAGCAGTGAACAAAGTGGATCGGTTCATAGTAAGGACGATAATGGAATGATTGGGTTAATAACGGTGATCAAGGTGTAAATGGGGAGTAATTAATAAGGATAGGTAATAAGGGAAGATGACCAGAGGGCAATTAATGGAGAAAATTAATAGGGGATATATATTCATAGGCAGTTAATAAGAATCATAAAGGAACAGTTGGAATTGTTAGTAAGATTGATTGAGGAATAAATAGAGAGTAATTGATAAGGAGAAGGCAGTGGAACAGGTGGAAGAACTCAAGAGCAATTAATAAGAACATAATGAGGAAGATGACAGGGTTGTTAACTATCTTGAGGCTCGTTAGGAGGTTGATTAACCATCTGGGTGTCTCCTCACAGTGAGCTCACGCAGATCATTGCTGATGTCTCCCAGGACCCTACGCTGCCGCGCACTGAGGACCACCCCTGCCAGAAGTGGGGAGGACTTGGGGATCCCTGTGGGGACCAGGAGCCCCTGCAGGGATGTGAGGGGCTTCCAGGGGGCCGAGAGATGTCCTCAGCCTTGCTGCTTTCCCCCTGGGCTCCAACTTTACCAGTGTCGGGGGCATGGTATCCCTGCCACGTTCCTGCTGCAGGGCTCTGCTATATGCTGTCCATCACCAGTACTCTCCTCACAGCTCCTTTACTTCCCTATGGGGTTATTTAACATCCCCTCCTGTGGTTCCTGCCCCACGCAGGGGCTCCACGTCCCTCCTGTGTTACTGCTTTCCTTTCTCTCCCCCAGGTGTGGGCACAAGGAAGCTGTTCTCTTCCAGTCGCACAGTGCAAGAGCTGAGGTGAGGCACCACCCCCAAGTCCCCCAGCCTCCCAGCTGCTGTTGCCACCCCTTCGTATCCCTCTCCTCTGACCACCGCCTCCCCCTTCTCTTCAGGATGCCATGAGGCTCTACTATGTCTGCACAGCCCCGCACTGTGGCCACCGCTGGACCGAGTGATGGCTGTGTCCCTGGTCTGGCTGTCACCCCCCCAAGCAGCTGTTGACTCCTGTACAACCCCTTCCACCTGCCAAATTTCTTCTCTGTACCTGCCGGAATGGCATTTGCATACAAAAAATGGTTGACTTTTGGCAGTGGGTCATGTTGGTGGCTCTGTGGGATAGCATTGGATGGGAGGCAGCTCTGTGGGGCAGTGGGGAGGCTTTGGGATGACTGTCATGTGGCTGGGTCCCTGCAGTAATGTCGCACTTTCAGCTACAGAGTCTCAGATCCCCTGCAGTGTCCCCAGGAGGCATCCTTTGTACCCCAGAGTGTCCCAATGGGCCCTGAATTGCAGCCCTAGGATCTCCAAATGTCATCCCAGGTGCCCAAGAGGAGCCTCAAGTGCCCTCAACCAAGCTCTTGTCACCTCACTGGACCCCAGCTTCAGCTCCCAGAGATGTCCTGAGCTCCACATTTCTCGCTGTGGGTCCCGTGCTGCAGTCCTGGTGCTTTGAATAGCCCCACGGGGGCCAAAACTGCCTTCTGGGTACTCCGACTCCTAGTGTACCACGTTATATGCTCTGCATCCCTAGACTGCCTATTTGTGTGTCAAATCTCCTTTGCCCTGTCTCACATTACACCATCAAAGCATAAATTGCCCCAAGAGGTATCAGATCTCCTTCACCGATACCCTGAGTAGCTCAGTTGGGCCCCAGATTGCAAATATCCCCAGAGAGCCTCACATTGCAGCAGGGTGCAGCTGCAGCTGGTGAATGGTGCCAGCAGAAGCCCCAGGCCTGTGCCCTGGCATCCTGAAGCCTGAGGTTGGTGTAAGTCTTGTTGGTCCCAGCAGTGTTGTTTGTTGGGTTTGGCCCAAATTAATGGCTGTGGGACAAAGATTTTGAAGGTAATCTTTAGACTTGACAGAGATGGCTCCTTCCATCCCTGTTCTTGTTGCTGCTATTGAGCATTGGCCTGTAGCAGGGCTGGGAGGGGACGTGTCTCAAGGCAATTGCAACAGCTTTAGGGGGCTCGGGGGGGGTTCAGATCTGTGAAGAAGCCATAAACCTCGGTTAAAGGTCAGGAGGTGTTGGTGCTGTGATCGTTGGCTTATGCCAGACCTGGGGAACCGGCACAGGCAGGTGTGAGCCTTCTGAACCTCTGGTTTTTGAAGCAGTTCTGGGCATCCAGCGCTGTCTCAAAGTGCTGCTTGTGGCACTTGTTCTGCTTGGGGTCTGTGATTAGAGCTGCTCTGCAGCGGGGTTTCTGCATGTTTCATTTCCTGTCCCTGTCATCCTTTGCCAATGTGGAGCAGGGAGGGAAGCAAATCTCTTGGAGAGATGAGGGACGTGAGCAGGAGGTCCCAAAAAGCCCCATTGTGGCACTCAGGTACACACCAAGACCCTCAGCTCGTGCACTGGAGGAACTCTCCCAATTTCTAAAGCACCTGAGCACTCGCAGAAGGAATTGCATTTGGGGTTAGACTGTGATTAAGCCGTGTCATACAACTTTCCCCCCTCTGATGAGGTTTCCCTCTAGGAACCTTAATGCTGCACTTGGCAGCTTCCAGAGATCACCAAAGGATCCAGCCATGAGAATTTGGCTGGAAGGAAAAGGGCATCACGGGGACGTAGGGGGGCCAGAGCCCCAAGGGCTTGTGTGGTGAAATGAAGCAAAGTCCAACCCAGCAGATGGTTTGTATTTCAACAGGGCGGCTCAAAACTAATCCTAAAGCAAGTGCCTGTGTCCCCAGCCATCAGTCTGGGCCAGCAGCAGTGACTCCCGATGCAGACCAAGAGAAATTGTTAACAATATCAGTGAATGCTTCTCACTTGGGAGACATTTGAGGTGACCTGAGGGTGACAGAGTATTCTTGGGGTCAATTCAGGGTAGGCTGATTTTTAAGGCAGTAAAGAGCTGCACAGAGACTGGTTTCACCCAACGTATATAACTTTCATTAATGTGTGGAGCAGTGAATTCTCTGCTGCACCCTTTCTGTGTCCTGATTTCAACTCAGTGTGAATCACACACCAGTGTTTGGTTGTTGCTGAATGATGAGTGCCCTACAGAGACACACAGTGCCTTATAGTGCCCTATAGAGACACACAGTGCCCCATAGTGCCCTACAGAGACACACAGTGCCTCATAGTGCCCTATAGAGACACACAGTGCCCTAAAGTGCCCTATAGAGACACACAGTGCCCTAAAGTGCCCTATAGAGACACACAGTGCCCCATAGAGCCCTATAGAGACACACAGTGCCCCATACTGCCCCATAGTGCCCTATAGAGACACACAGTGCCCCATAGAGCCCTATAGAGACACACAGTGCCCCATAGAGCCCTATAGAGACACACAGTGCCCTAAAGTGCCCTATAGAGACACACAGTGCCCCATAGTTCCTCATCACTGGATGGGGAATTGCAGGGGGCAGGCTGCAGTATGGGCTGGGCTGGGCTGTGAGTTGGACGTGCCTGCCCTGAAGGAATTTGAGGGCTGGAGATGGAAATGAAAGTTATCAACTTGGAGGCATTAGATGAGTCAAGGAAGGCAGGAATTTTTGTAACTTGCTGGTTAGAAGGAGAGGGAGAAGCATAGTTCCAGCTATGCTGTATTAAAGAGCCAGCAGGTCAGTAGAACACGCTGATTTCCTCTGCTCACTTCATTTTCCTGGCTCCAACCCCTTCCTGTGTCCCTCGGTGCGCAAGCTGGACTGCAACATACCCTGATACAGCTGCTCCCCTCATTGCACCTTATCAGGCTCAGTCAACCTGCTGTGCTGGGCAGCAGATGGAGCCAGAACCAGGATCCTGCTTGGGGTAAAGCAGCGTTGGTTCTGAACTGCCCTTTGAGTCTCCTCTTCTGACTCCCTGTCCAGCTGGCAGGAGGCAAAGGAGCACAGGAACAGTCATACAAAGCGTCAGGGAATGGGTAAAAGCACATAGAGCTATGGGGAAAGGAAAAAAAGAAAAGAAAAAAAAAAACAAAAAAAAAGAGGTCATTAGAATAATTCGAATCTGTTCAGTGTAATGAGAATAAATCTGTCCCCTCAGTTAAAAAGAAAATACCGAGAGGCAATTGCTACTGGGACTTTGAGGAATCAGGTACATCTGAGACTCATACCCTGTTTGTGGCCCACGTTTCTGTGTAAATTCTGGCCAAAATGGGCTCAACCAGGGCTCAGGAACCCAAACTGCTCACCTGAAGCCATCCAGGCTCTTCTCCTCTTCTGCAGTCCGGTTACTTTCTGAGTTGCTCCCTTTGAAGTCCTGACAGCCGTCTCCATTCTAACGGCAAGGTGAGGCAGATCCTGCTTTCCTTTTCCCTTTTATCGTGACTTTCCAAGGCCAGTGCTGGACTTTGTGTTTTCCAGTACTGCTTCAACTGCAGATTCGGACGGAAAAGAAACATCCCTGCTGCTTCTCTGCCAAGCGATGAAGGGCACTTACCTTGGGTGCAGAGCAGGGTGCTGCCACCTCTGTTGCATGCAGCCAGGTTCCTTTGAATCGTGCAGGGCAGAGGATGCCAAGTGTCCTCAGCCTGAACCTGCCTGCAGGATGACCTTGGTGCACGTCTTGCTACCGTAGTGCTGCTTCAAGCTTCAAGCCAGGTTCTAACTGCATCGCAGGGAGCCCCTCCTCGCACTGATGTGCAGGGAGCTGTGAGCTCTGCTGCAGGCTTTTCACATCCAGAGCACCCTGCACGAGACCGCACTCCCAGGCTGTCCATCTCCTTGCTCAGGGCTCTGTTTGAGCCCAGGCCAAGGTACTTAACCCCTGCTCGACTGCATTGGAGGAGCCCGGGGCTGCAGCTCAGCCTTGCCCACAGCTCCTGATGTGCAGTTTGCCTTGCCCACGGACCTGTGTGTGTGATGTGGGTGCTCGGCTGAAGCCAGCTGCTCTGCAGGATCTTTCCTTGTTTGGTGTCTTAGATGGAGGCCCTGCCCAGCACTTCCTTGCTTGCTGTGTGGGGTGCAGTGGGGCTGAGCATGGGCAGCTTACATCTGATTCAGTTTGTCATCTGAAACCCAGGAAGAAAGCTCTCTAACTGCAGCGTGGTATTAGAAAGCAACATTCCTTTCTTCCTCCTGGTGCCTGGCACCTTATCCAAACAAGCACATGCACTCAGAGTTCAGGTTCTACTTTTAAACAGTGAAGACATACATATGCATATACGTATTGGCAAACATATTCGATCTCATTCCTTTTCACACACTCATTAATGTATGCTAATGTCTTTCTGGGCATGCAGTTGCATCTAAGGTGGTTGTACAACCACTTGGTTTATCTGCATTTTCCCATCATCAGCTTCATCACAGACTTTTGGCTGACCTCTAGCTGTTTCTCCCTAATTTGGACGACTTCCGTTGCTCGTTAGGCCATGATGAGCAATTTCCAGATCAATATATATGATATCCAAGGAAAAAGGCCTTGCACCTGGTGGCTGCAAAGATAACAGTCCATTCTGACTGCGGCGCTCCTGTGAAGCGGGATCATTCCCAGTGCAAAACTGTCAGGAAAAACGAGTTCACTCGCTAAAGCTCAAGTGGGAAGTTTCAGAACTATCACTATGGATTCCTTTTGCTAAACGAATGTATTGGTTCTGAAACTAATGCACCAATTCCTATGGCTAAACAAAGCAACCTATATCACATACGTACGCAGTCCATTGCCGTACGCATTCATTCTTTTTCAGGCTCTCATAGGTAGGCACTAACGTCCCTTTGGCCGTGCTCACTAGTATTTAGGATGGTGGAACTGCCCACCCAACTTCTTCCCCTTTTTTCACCGTCATCTTCATCACTGAAACATCTGACCCGCTGCCACCCGCTTTCCCCCAGTTTGGAAGGTTTCCATTGCTTATTAGGCCATAGTGAGCCACTTTTTAAAAGCAATGTCTGTGGGACCCAAGGGAAATGAGTGTACAAGAGGCTTCAGAAGCAGTTCCTACCTAATTGTCCACCAGCACATCCACACAGGAGAGAGACCACATAGGTGCTTCG